CAATTCGAATCTTCTTCGTGCATTGTGGATGGGAAAGGAAAGTATGAAGAATACCATGAGACTTACTTGAAGATAGATGGGAGTAAAACCGAGAAGTTTGTGAGCAAAGGATTGTACAAGGATCCTAGTGGTCTTTCTGTTCTCACTGGAAACAACAAGAAGAAACTAATCGACCATGCAAGCTTTAAAGGCTTGAAGGAACCAAAACGGAACTCTCAAGAGAAAACCCTGAGATCCAGCCTGAGCCGATTGATGCCAACGGTTAGTTTCAACGAAAAGACTCTGAACTCACCCACATCTCAGAAGCGAAAATCCACTGTTTATCGGCTTTCATTCAAGAGGAGATCGTGCGATGGTGAGGAAGTTACTGAGCACCGTAAGTTGCTCTACCATCCAAAAGCAGGATTCGTCATTCCTTGCTCAGCCAAAGAGAAGCAGTCCAGTGGAAGTTGGTGTGAGATACCGCCTTCAACTTTTAAACTCCGTGGAGAAACCTATTTCAAGTACACCTTTAACCACTCTGCTTTATGTATCTTTTACTAGAAAGTGTTTTGTCTATAACTGTTGAAGAAATGATGTTTGCAGAGACAAAAAGAAATCCCCAGCTCCTAATCAGTGTCCGTACACTCCTTTTGGCGTTGACTTGTTTGTCTGTCCCAGGAAGATTGATCATATCGCCCAACACATTGAGCTTCCAAACATCAAAGCCGAGGCAAAGCTCCCTGCTCTTCTCATTGTCAACATTCAGGTAACCACTACTCAACATTAATGGCTTCTTCGTCTTTCTTTTGTCACTAACTTTTGCTTGTGTGATAATCATAAGAAGTGTGTAGATTGTGTTTGATATGCTTATATGTGTAAAGAATCCTGACAATTGTACCTCATTTGGCAGTTACCAACCTATCCTGCTGCAATGTTCCTTGGAGATAGCGATGGTGAAGGCATGAGCATTGTACTTTACTTCAAATTACGAGACAATTTCGAAAAAGAAACCTCTCAGCAGTATCAGGAGAGCATCAAGGTAGCTTTAAAAGCCATTTCTTTACACTTCTCACATCTCGTGATTGATCTGAATACGTCCTGGTTTTCTTATAAAAAATTATGTTTCAAAACAGAAACTTGTTAATGATGAGATGGAGAAGGTGAAAGGATTTGCTAAAGACAACAATGTTGCTTTCCGTGAAAGGCTTAAGATCGTGGCTGGACTTGTTAACCCTGAAGATCTAACTCTAAGCTCGACTGAAAAGAAGCTTGTGCAGGCTTACAATGAGAAACCCGTCCTCTCTCGTCCTCAACACAGCTTCTTTAAGGTTTTAGCACCACTAACTAACCTCTTAAACAAACACACAGAAGAAGTCGTCTTTGGGACGTAATTAAGATTGCTTTTACCTCTCCGCAGGGTCCAAATTACTTTGAGATTGATTTGGATGTACATCGGTTCAGCTACATTTCACGGAAAGGACTTGAAGCATTCAGAGATCGACTGAAGAATGGAACTCTTGACCTCGGCTTAACCATCCAGGTAATGAGCAAAACTTGATACAAAGTATATGTGAACCAGAGACTAGAAGATCTTATGTTCTTGAAGACAACAAGATTCAAACTTTTGTTTATCTTTAAAATGGAACATGAAACAGGCTCAAAAACCAGAGGAGCTGCCGGAACAAGTCCTATGCTGTCTGAGGCTGAGTAAGATTGATTTCGTCGACCACGGACAAATCCCAATGCTTTTAATCCAGGAGGATGGGGAAACTATGGTGTAAACGTCCTCTTGTATCCGAAGAAACCAAAACAAAAAGTGTGTTATTCATCAAACTGTTG